TTCTGGGTGAGAACCAGCAGTGCTGGGTGGGCTGGCCCTCAGCTCTGCATTCGTGGGAGGAGCTGCCATCAAAGGCGAATTTGGCAAAGCTCCACACCTCAGCTCCTGGCAAGGCGCTGTTGTTACACGAGGTACGGGAAGGTGCGTTGGTGCAATTCAAGGAAGCAAGTACACAAGCTGTGGCCAAAGTTAGATGACATATCAGTCTGGTGTTTGGTTTATAGAAGTTCCCTATTCCTGCATTTGACCTCATGTAACATTATGAAATACTAACTGCGTTGGGGTGGGGAACTACTGAAAGGCCACTGGATTTTGAAAATGTGTTTGGGAAATGGAAATTCCCAGCTGGTGATGGCAGGGAGGCCTTTCTGCCTTTTACCTCGATTTTGTGGTTGGGATTTTTTTCTGCATCTCTTCTCAGTTCTTTCATTCTCTTGATGTGGTTTACTGGTTAATTATTCGAAACAATACATGTAGCATTTGAATGCATCTGCTTCAGGTTCAGTGCTTGGATAATGGGGCAGAGGTGACCAGCAGGACTGAGAGGCTGTGCCTACGAATCAGACCAGGGCCAGGTTCTTGATTAGATGTTGCTCAGTTGTTCAGTTTTCTTAGTATAACCAATTGCCTTTACATAAAAAATTACCTTCATTTGAACCAGAACTTACACTTTTTTGAATAGATGTGCTTTCTCAAAGTAAAGTCATTGTTAGATGAATTTTTGTTTCTGCAGACAGGTAGTCTTCACATCCACTATTTCTTTGGTGGGCACCATGATGTAGTGCTGTGCTCTGTCATGCTAAATTTGGGGTTTCTTTTCTTGCTTGTTGGCATGAGCTTGCAAAGGGAGAATGCATCCTGGCTTTTGCTCAGGTGGCCTCATGTGTGACCAGCAAATTGCGTGTGGATGTCAGTGCTGGGGACTTTGGCCTGATGGGCTGGGCTTGCCTCCCTTCTCCCTGCCCAGAGGCTGGCAGTGCTGCTGCTGCTGCCCCAGCCTCCCAGCATCTCCTCAGCAGCCAGGCTGGTGTGGACACAGTGCCCAGCAGCACGGCTGCCTGTGACTTCACGGCCACTCACTCCTCTGATGGTATGTGCCTAGATGATGTCCTGGTGAGAACACACCTGCAAACTCTATCTGCTTGCAGTCAACCCAAAGACAGGCCACCAAATCATGTAACATCCCACAGGTAGGTCTTCTACGTGTTTGCAGCAAAATTCCTTGTGTTCTTCAGCTCTGAGGGACTACTGAGCTGATAGATAGATAGATAGATAGATAGATAGATAGATAGACAGACAGACAGACAGACAAAAATCTTAGTGTGGCAAGCAAGCAAGCTTGTGTGACAAATTTATGGGATAAAGCAATATTACCAGACATCATTTGGGAATCAGAGCCTAAAAAATAAGAACCTTTTGTCATGCTGGTTTGCTTCATAATTAATTCCAAACTTCAAAGTGACTACAGCTGCCAAGTAAGAACAATCACTTGTCTTCAATTTAGAGCAACTCATGTGTTTTTCAGCTAAACTAAACCAAAACCGAACAGGGGATTTTGGAAACAAATGAAAAATAAACTATGGAGTGTTTAACAATTACTTCCTCATAAGACATGCCCAAGAGGAAGCTTTTCAGTCATGGAGCTGCTCTCCTAAGCATGAGGGGGATCTCGCTTTCCTCTCTCTTCTTACTGATGCACCTGCTTCAGGACAAGATAACTAGTAAGTTCCATTCTTTTCCTATGAGGGGAGGGGGATGCTGGGTCTGTTGTTGGATCTCTGGATGAGTCAAGAAGTTTCTGGATTGTTTGGTGGGTTTCAAAAGTCATGTCGTTCTAAATTAGTCTGTTACTTTTTCTTCCAAGGTTCTGAAATGCAGCTAAAGCAAGCATGTTGCCCAATGAATTTATTCGTAGCTATAGTACCAGTTTCAGTTCAATTAGTACAATTCTTACTGGATTTTGTGATATGCCAGGGATAAATTCACCTGGGTCACAAACCCCAGAAAAATGTTAGCATTTGGGTGCTTCACAGAGGTTGTTAACTGATTGTCATTTGTAGCCGTGACAGTTTGAAAACAAATTATCTTGAAATAGTCAGGCAGCTTTTTACAGTAGTGCAGACTGGCAAAGCAGATAATATGAGGTTATTTTTTATTAGGCAAGAGCTGATAAACCACTGTTGTGGCAACTGTTAAAACAGCTGCAATCCTTGTAGGTTAAAGTTGAGATGTGAAGGAAAGAGCACCTGAGCTGAACTAGTGATGTGGGTCCTTACTGCAGGCTCTGTGAATTGATCCAAAGGGTTTGTTTCCTGGGATATCCCTCAGGCATCTTTTACAGCAATAAACTCACTAGGGAGAAATGAAAAAATAAAACAACAAAACTAGACCACATCAAAGTGTTCTTTGCATAATACTAAGGGTGTTTGTTCTGTAACTGCTAGATTTGGTCACTGCCACTTGGGAAGTTTTGAACATGAGGTCTGGGACCTTTAATTTCTGCAATCAGCTAGTCTGAAAGCAAATAAGCTGTAGCAATGCCCCCACTTGAACACAGAGGAGCATGTTTGTGGCAAACGTGTCATGTTGTCGTTCCTTATTATTTGCAGTCATTTTAGTTCTGGAATATCAAGACCTGCAAGATTCGATTAAGCCACAGAAGGTAGAGTTTCACTCATTAAATTTCAACAACACTCTGCACTGGCAGCCTGGGAGGGCCAGAGAGGCCAGAGACGTTGTCTACTTTGTGCAGTATAAAGTGTAAGTATCGGGGGAACTCCAGACTCCCGCTGGGCTGGGGCCCATCCCTGCTTGGCATGTCAAAGGGATTTCTCAGGTGACAGGGGCTATTCTTCCCATAGCTGGGGAACAGCCACGTCCTGCCCAGCTCCCAGCTCTCTGTTGTTGCTGCACTTCTCAGTAGCCCATAAGGTGCAGCTGAACAGCCCAAGGCAGGCAGGGAGCAAGGACCTCCAAGCAGATGCTTTGCATGCTCATTGCACCACACAGTTGCAGTTTGTAGTTTGGAGGGGACCTCTGGAGATCATGGGGTCCAACAGCCTGTCTGAAGTAGGTCTTGATAGGCCAGGTACTTCTGCAATAGGACTTTTAAGGTGTTTTGGTGGCCCACCTTGTCCTTGACAGTGCTTCAGGGTTCTTTGCACAGCAAACTTGAGGCAGCACTAGGGGCTGGTCCTCAGGGGAGGAGGTACATTCCTGTTGCTGGCATACCTGGTGAGCACCTGAAATCACTTTTGATAAACCAGTTGGTGGAAACCAGCATTCTGCACATCACTAAACATGCTGGCTAAGCCAAAGCTCACCCACCTCTCCCAAGAGGCTTACTACAGGGCTGATGACCCATGCCTCTACTTTAGGTTTCTTTCAGAAAAGACAGAAACCTGTAGCTCACAAACACCCATGAAATTAATCTTCCCTGTCATCAAATTGAACAGAGTCAATTCCCAAGGCAGAACTCCAGTCAATACTACCGAGGTATAACATCTGGTTAGTGGCTGGAGAGCAGCCCAGCAGAGAGGGACCTGGGAGTACTGTTTGACAGCCAGTTGAACATGAGCCAGCAGTGTGCCCAGGTGGCCAAGAAGACCAATGGCATCCTGGCTTGTATCAGGAATAGTGTGGCCAGCAGGAGTAGAGATGTGATTCTCCCTCTGTACTTGGCACTGGTGAGGCCTCACCTCAAGTACTGGGTGCAGTTCTGGGCCCCTCACTTCAAGGAGGATACTGAGGTGCTGGGGGGACGAGGCTGGTTAAGGGACTAGAGTACAAGTCTTATGAGGAGAGGCTGAGGCAGCTGGGGTTGTTTAGCCTGGAGAAGAGGAGACTCAGGGGGGACCTTATCACTCTCTACAACTATCTGAAAGGAGGTTGTGGTCAGGTGGGAGTCAGGCTCTTCTACCAGGAAACTAGTGAGAGAACAAGAAGGCACAGCCTGAAGCTGTGCTAGGAGAAGGTTTAGGCTGGATATTAGGAAGCACTTTCTCATGGAAAGGGTGTTCAGACATTGGAATGGACTTCCCAGGGAAGTGGTAGAAGCACCATCCCTGGATGTGTTTAAGGAAAGGCTGGATGTGTCACTTAGTGCCATGGTCTAGCTGATGTGGAGGTGTTAGGTCATAGGCTGGACTTGATGATCTCAGAGGTCTTTTCCAACCTCAATGATTCTGTGATTCTTACATCCTTCCTCCTCTTTCTCTATAGGTATGGGCAGAGCACGTGGCAAAACAAAGATGACTGCTGGGGAATTCAAAACCATGTCTGTGACCTAACGATTGAGACCTCTGACATCCAAGAGCCTTACTATGGCCGAGTGAGAGCCCTGTCAGCTGGTGTCTATTCCAACTGGAGCCTCAGCTGCAGATTCACTCCCTGGCAAGAAAGTAAGTATTTGGGTCTTTTTGAGAAAGGAATTTGATTCTTTTATGGCTTGGATTACATCATTTCTACTCACAATTTGCAAACATGAGTAGTCCTTTCCTAGCTACAAAGCTAGAAAAGATGTTGTAAATCAAGAGCTCTTGGGTGAAGCGTTGCAATCAAATAAGTTTTGCTCTCTTGAAAGCTAACCAAACATGGATAAGTAGCCACTTATGTATAATTAGGGGATCAGAAGTGCCTGGCTCCCTTATCTCAACCTCTCCCTCAAGGCATGGAACTACAAAAATTATTTTCAGCCATTTTTTTGGAGCTGCTGGAAGGACTGGGCACGAGGTGGAAGGAAGGAAATGCTCGCTGCTTCTGGGAAGGAAGGGAGAAGAGAGCTGAGAGATGTGTGGCCACCATTCTTCTCATATTTGTGTGTTTTCCTGACTGCAGTGCATCTAGAAAGAACTTGCACAAAGCTTTTAGTTAATGCAGTCATGTAAGTCCAGAGTATGTTACAAATTAGAGAACTGTTAAAATATTTAATCATTCCAGTGTACCCACCTGTGAATTCCCTGTGAATTCACCAGTTTTCCCTCACCAGTCAATGCAAAACTGAATTGTGAATGTCAGTGCAGGTCACTTTACAGCCCTGAATTGCAAACTACCTCAAGCTTCCTGTACAGATGAAAGCACAAAATTTATACAAGATTTGTAAACAGGGGAAATGTAACCCACTCAAAATGTCCCAAGCAATCAACACCAAGAAGTGAGTACTTAAAAAGTAACTTCAACAGTAAATACAGCATAATATAGTTTGGTAAGAAAAACAATAAATCATTGAATTAATTAAAACTGTGGGCTGTGAAACATTCTCAATAAGCTGTAACTGTGTCCATAGCACTGTTTTTTTCTTTAGCTATGATAGGACCTCCAACAATAACTGTGGTTCATAGCAAAAAATTCATCATACTAAAGCTCCAGGCTCCACGTTCTCCTTATAAAAGGAAGAAAGGCAGCAAAATACCAATGACAAATTATTATGATCTTCTATATCAAGTCTTCATAATTAACAACTTGCTAGAAAAGGTAAGTGTACGTTCAAGTATAAACCCTTTAGCATGGGAAGCATGGGCACACCATTCTTGTTTTACAGTTGAAATAATTTTCTGGGCTTGTGAAGGCATCAATGACTCTGTAAGTATTTAAAAACAAAGTAGGCTTATTTTTCAGGAATTGAATTTTATTGAATTGAGTTGTAATTTCTCCCTTTATTCTTTCCCACCAACTTGGTATTTCATACTCTTTTCAAAAAAACTAGGACAGGAGGGGAATTTTAGAGGGGCTTTCCTTTAAAAATCATTAATAAATTATTAATGTTGTTGACTGTGTGCAAGTCCACGTGCTGCTCTGCATCTGCCCTTATCAAACTGTAGTCACAGACACACCTGGCAGGGCGATGTGCTTGACTGGCTGTTTTTACTCCACTCTGAAGCAACACAAAGAGCTGGTGTACGAAGGAAAAGACAAGGTAATTAAATTAGAAGATCTGAGGCCTGGAACCAGCTACTGCATCGTGGCTAAGACCTACCTGCCGGTGCTGGGGCGCAGCAGTGGCGACAGCAGCAGGCAGTGCACTGTGCTGCAGTGACAGGACTGGCACCTCTGCCATGGGTAAGTCACCAGCTGAAACTGGAGGTAACTCTGGAAGTCAAGAGCTATCCCTTCCCTAAAGGCTGACACTCTCCAAAGGGAGGACAAAAGGTGTGGTAGAAAAACTAGCACCCCGTAAGATAGTATTAGCCAGAGCTCTTACATCATCTCAGTTTCAACCAGGTGAGAGTGATACTGCCAACAAGATTAGAGGAGTTCTGTGAATAATCAGTTGCATGCAGGCACAGTACTCAGAAATACCTCCCTCTTGCCTTTCTTTAAACAGTTATAAGTAGTATTGCTTTCATCAGTTTTTATTGCTGCCTAATAATTAACTAGGAAAATGAGTGACCTCCAGTTTCATTAACATGCAACCTGCTGCAAACTCTCCAATTCTTTTCAGGAATTTATCTAATTCTTTTCAAGCAAATGAGCCTGTCTGCTTTTCATGGTCATTCTTCAGGTGTAATGTATTTAAAAATAAAACCAAACAAAAACCAGTTATCAAATTCAAAGAGTTCCCATGGACCAAAATGCAAGACTTAACTAATTAGCTGATCTGAAAATCTGTTTGTTTGTTTACCTCAAACACTGGTGAATGGCACAAGTTGCATTTTCAGTTAAATTCAACACAATCCAGCTGAAATGTGCACTCTAGCAGCAATTCTCTTTCTCTTCCCAGTTACAGGGATAATGATGGAAGATGACTCCCATCACAGATCCAGCTGTAAATCAACATCTGTGGTCTATGTCTGGAATACATACTTGGATACTTTTTAAATTAACCTTTGCTGCATTGAATTATTTGATTCATCACAATAATCTGGTGCCACACAAAGGCCAGGGATTCTTTCTGTTTCTTGTATCACTTTTTACAATGTTACATATTTGCACTTACAAAGGAAATACTATTGTAACATATTAAAAAAATCCCCATCATGCAAAAAAGCGTTTGTGAAAATATCCTTAGGAGTGGTTCTAGGGTTTTTCTATTTTAAACCTTGGAATTAAAATACAATTTATAAAATAGAGGTTTCAGATTATTTTTTTTCTCCTAGAACAAAATTTGCAATGGAATATGAAAGAAATGTTCTTTCTTTAAAATCAGAACTGTACAGTACAGGAGCCTACCCCAAGCTCACAATGTCTTCAGAGAATCATAGAATCATCACGGTTGGAAAAGGCCTCTAAGACCACTGAGTCCAACCATCAACCCAGAAAAAAAACCACTATGGCCACTAGAGCAGGTCCTGAAGTTCCCAGTCTACACGTTTCACAGTGCCCTGGACATAACACTGAAATCAGTATGTGTTTAGGCAGGAGCTCATTTAAATTGAAGCAGAACAGATCCTTGCTTTCAGTCACTGCTGGACAGTTAAAGGGAAAAAGACCATTTCAACCATTTCACAGTAATTGATGAACAAATACTGAGCAGCACCTGTGATTTCTGATGATTTTACTCCTACTAGTCTTCATCTTGCAAAGAAAAAGGTTTCTTGGGCAAAGTCTGGGTAGATACCCACTAAGCCACCCTGGACAGAGAGGTGAAGTGGCTTTTCCAGGTCTTCAAGGTTTGTAAGCACGTTAAAAAAGGGGAGATGAGAGTGGGCCAGACACAAGAGGGCAAAGCAAGCCCTGGGAAATCTGGAGCTTGCTGCTACATAATCCTTGTCCACTCTACCCTTAATTCACATAGACAAAGGTTGTTCAGTTCAGTTTAAGTAACAGACCCTTAAGCTGTATCCAAAGCCTTTTCCATGGCCTGACACAAAGGCCTAGCCTGAGGCAGCTGCTGAGAGCTGCAGCAGGACACTCAGCAGGCATCTGGGAGGAGGCTGTGCTTAAGGAAGTGAATGCTGGTCACTCTTGTCTTTGCCAAAGTGAAAGAGGGCATTACATATTAAATATTTACACCATCTGATTATAACACGATATGTATGAATGACTGGATTTGCAGGCATCTCACTGTGTCCACAAATCTAGTCTATAAAACCAGGTTTCTTTCACCATGCTTCCCTTGTTGCTCCTTTCTCATTTCTTCCAGTTGTTTTTTAGGGAAGCAAGGCTTATTCAATCTCTGTGCCACAGCACGTCTGGGATCCAGCACTGTCCTGCCACCCTTCTTGTGCTGGGCACAATAAAACCATGTAGGCAAGCTATTAAGAAATAGTTGTTACATCCTGCCCCACAGATAGAGGAGAAAGATAAATTTGATTTGTAAATCCCCTAGGCTGGATTGAGGTGAAACAACACTCAAGTTCCATATTAAAATATTAGCTTTAATTAGGACTCTAGGAGGAATAATTCATACAGGCTTATAGTATATATGCTCAGGCTGCATGATGATAAAGGCTGATACTTGGATTATCATGATGCATGACCTGGGAAAAATCACCATAGGCTTTGAGTTACTTGATTTTAGGAAGGAAAAAGAGGGAGACAAAACAGAAGAAAAGTCAGAGAGATTAAGAGATTACTGATCCAGGTTGGACCTGCTAGCAGGAGTGTTCAGTGTGAAGAGAGAGAGAATCACTGAGTTTCATTGTGTGGCCCTATTTGTTTGCCCCAGCACTTCTGGAATGTTCTCTTCATTTACTATTGGTCCAGTTGTCCCTGCTTGCTATGTAAATTAGCACACATGCTCCTTGCAGGTGTGAGGGGAATCTCCTACTGCTGTCTTCACCTTTTCCCCATTTATTGCAAGTTTTGCTGACTTCATGTCTCGTGGCATGATGTTACCTTTGTTATCTCCCAAGGTTCCTTCTCAGGAGATTAATGGTTATTAATGGTATAGTGTAAGCTAGAGTTTTGTAACTCTGCAAGAGGATTCTGGTATTCCTCAACAATTTTCAATTTCTCATCAATCCTCACATTCCAAGAGGTTTTGTTTCAGGGACAAGTTTCTGTGAATGTCTGAGACATTTATTGGTAGAGCCCAGGGAGTCTCCACCCCATTGTTCTCACCTAGTTCTGTCTCTTATTGCCACACACACCCTGCCCAATGGTTCTTTGCCTCGGGGGACCACAACGACAGGAGTGTCAGGACCACTGTCTGGATGGACCTGTCCCATTCATTTGGTCTCCTACAACAGCCTGTCTCATACTTCAGCAGTGATGACTTCATCCACTTGTGGGTTATCACAGTCTGAGAACAGTTCCTGTAGTAACTGCAGTTCTTTCTCAAATTGCCCTCTTCCCTTAGAGCAGCTCATGTTGCTGCTGTTATGCAAAGGTAACATTTTATTAAGGTAACATCTGCTAGTCAGAGGGAAGACTCTGATTATGCCAGATACTGTATCTGTGTCAGATACACGGGATGAATCTGTTGAGGGCTCTCAAATCTTAAAGAAGACATTAAAATAAATAAAAAGCAGAGCCATAGGAGTAGCTGAAGCACCCAGGCCTGGCTAGAAATACATCAGCTAATTCCCTCTGGATCTACAGAGATACTACAAACCTGTTGGGTTTTTTTTATTATTATTTGATGAAATTCTAAAAAATGTGCAGCATATATACTGGGAAAAGCAACAAAAGGTGTGAAGAAGTCTTGCTCTATTATGTTTCCTAACTAGATTTCACTTCAGCGGCAGCAGTACAGCCTTGCAGAAAGCAGCATGAGAGTTGCAGGAAGGACCCACTTCCATTTGGACAGTACCAGGCTTTATTACTGTCAACCTCATGATGTCCTGAAAAGCCTAGTTTCTCTTTCCATTTGAAATGAAAAGAGTTTGGTAAATCACTGGTGCTGTATTTTTTGTCCATGATCAATGGTAGTGACATGTTCCCAGGACATGCTCCGCTGGGCTCACAGGATGGGTCTCCTGCAAGGAGAGGTGCTTTGCTGTAATGTACACCAGCTGGACCATCTGCAACCACAACTTTTAGAAAGCATTTTTAATGTTGTAGGTTTTAAAAACACCTTCATTGTGCCCCAGCCTGAATGCTGCACCCTGTTAACATCTCCATTAGGGTGGAATGAATCACAGAATCACAGAGTTATTTGGGTTGGAAGGAACTTTAAAGATCATCTAGTTCCAAAGCCTCTGCATGGGCAGGGCCTGCACGGGCCCCCCACCAGACCAGGTTGCTCCAAGCCCCATCCAACCTGCCCTTCAACACTGCCAGGGATGGGGCAGCCACAGCTGCCCTGGCCAACCTGGGCCAGTGTCTCACCACCCTCACAGCAAAGAATTTCTTCCTCAGATCTCATCTCAATCTCCCCTCTTGCAGCTTGAAACCATTCCCCCTCATCCCATCACTTCCTGCCCTTGTCAAAAGTCCCTCCCCCGCTTTCCCGCAGCCCCTTCAGGTCCTGGAAGCAACAGCTTAAAAAACCTGCCTCTGCACCCATCATTGTACCTCCAATCTCAATATCCCACAAAGAATATATTAACACAATATTATACCTAAACAGCAGCCAAGACCTCCCTGGGCAGCCTGTTCCAGTGCCTCACCACCCTCACACTAAAGAATTTCTTCCTGATGTCTAACCTCAATCTCTGCTCTTTCCATTTAAAACCATTAGCCTTGGTCCTATCACTACACACCCTGGTGAAAAATCCCTCCCCAGCTTTCCTGTAGCTCCTTCAGGTACTGGAAGGCTCCTATAAGTCTCCCTGGAGACCTCTTCTCCAGGCTGAGCAGCCCAAACTCTTTCAGCCTGTCTTCATAGAAGTGATCCAGCCCTCTGACCATCTTCATGGACCTCCTCCGGACTCACTCCAAGAGCTCCATGCCCTTCCTGTGCTGAGGGCTCCGGAACTGGACACAGTACTCTCAGGGGAGCAGAGTAGAGGAAATCACATCCCTCAATGGAGAAACGGAGGAAAAGCTCTCCTAAATACAGCTGGGGTTTTCTGCAAGCAAGTCAGTTCAGAAATACCTGAAAAAAGTGAGCTCTAGCCCTCCTTCCCCTTCCTTTCCAAGGACACAAGGAGACCATCTGCTGTGGATCCACCCCTGCAGAACTGGGCTGGTACACATGCACACCACTCAGAG